GCTAGCCTCCATTCTCAGGGACATGCGTGGATTTGCCGGGTAGGCTGGCTGCACGGTGGACTGTACTTCTCCCAGTCCTGTGGCCATATGTTTTGATGGGGGGTGGGTGTCATGTGAAGTTCATTTTTATAGCCCAGGCTTCCTGGACCTGGGCAGCCTTGACCTCAGCCTAAGGAAGACCTGGTGAGGAGCAGGTTGCTTAGAGTAAAGGGTCACTATGCCTACCACTGGGGGCCCCAAGTGGGGAAAGCTTTTCCTAGTTTAGCCATTATGACAGAGTACCTCTAGATAAGCGACCTCTCTGCTGGCCTGCTTCTCCTGATTTTAAAGAGAAGGACTTCATCCTGGGACAAAACGTTTATGACTGGGAAATCAGTGCACAGCCGACATGTTTGAACTTTAAGTCCCTAACACACAGCCCCAGAGACTGCTGGGAGAAGCTGCTGCCCTAAGAGACTGAGGTGCAGGGCAAGTAGGAGTCTATCAAAACAGTCGGTCACCTCTGGCCCCTCCCCCAGGCCACAGCTTCACATTGTGGTGGTAGAAGACCCAGACCCCAGTCCTGTACCTGCCACTATCCCATCATCATCACACAACAGAACAGGAGAGGGCAGCATGTGGCCAGTGTGTGGCTGGCATAGATGACCTGACGAGGTGCATGCGTAAGAGTGGGCAAAGCCACTCTGATGGCCTGGCGCATTGATAAGCTAGCCACCCCAAAGACTCAGGCTCTGCTCCTTGGCCCAGGGATCTGTAGCCTGTGTCTTGGTATTCTGGCTATCCGGAAGTGCCTAGGAGGATCTGAGGAGCCCAGCTGGGGCCGGAAGGTAGACTTTCCTGTGACAGGGTACGTTTCCTAGACAACCGGCAGATGCTTAAGAGCCACCTTGGCCTCATCTCCCACCTCAACTTGGACCCTCTCTGCTCAGGCTGGTTCTAAGAGAAACTGCAGCCAGAACCTCCTGGCCCAAGCTGGCCAGAGCCAGCAACAGTCCCTCCTCCAGCTCCATTGCCAGCTTGTTCAGAGGGACGTGCGGCCAGAGGGCCTGCTGAGGCAGAGGACAGGACATCACGTGACTGTGGCCCCCCAGAGGCAGGGGAGACCCTGCGCCAGCCAGCCCATCTTCCTCCCTGCCGACCCGGAATCCCCTGGAGGTGGCCAAATATTTGGACAGCCGGACTCCTGGCCCCAAGGAAAACTGGAACACAGGCCTGGGGCAGTTTGGGACTCATTGTAGACCCTGATGGGGGGCTAAAGCAAGGTCAGCTTGGAGGAGGGGAGACATTAGGTCAGGAGGATTGAGGTAGAGGGAGGGAGAGAGGGGAGAGATCTGAGGGGAGAGAGTGCAAGAGAAAACACACACATTTCACACATGCGCCCATGCGTACTGATCTAGACAGACAACCAGACAGACAGACAGGGGCCCAGGGAGATAGAGAAACTTGGTTGGATATTCAGGGGCACAGACAAAAGAAAACAGGGAGAAGCAAAAACCATACTTAAGTAGATGATTTGATATTCAGGCAAGGAGAAAGAGACAGTGAGGGAGGTCAGAAACAAAGATGACCATTCGAAGGTAGAGGGGGAGAAAGATGGTGGCAGGAGACAGCCAGCGAAAGACAGAGCCTCACATGTGGTGGCACAAACCTTAAGGCACAGCACTTGGGAGGCAGAGATTGAATGATCTCTATGAGTTAGAGGCCAGCCTGGTCTATACAGTAAGTTCCAGAGTTCCAGACCAGGCACAGCTGTGTAATACGACTCTGTCTTTTTTTTTTTTTTTTTTTTTTTTTGTTTTTTGTTGTTGGTTTTCCCTTTTGCTTTAGAGCCTGTCCTGGAACTAGCTCTAGTAGACCAGGGTGGCCTTGAAAAACTCAGAGATCCGCCTGCCTCTGCCTCCCAAGTGCTGAGATTAAAGGCGTGCGCCACCACCTGGCTACAACTCTGTCTTAAAAAACAAAGATAGAGAGCCTGGAAGGAGCCCGAATGGCCATGAGTGGAGGAGGAGGAGGAGGCAGGTATCACAGCACAGCAGGTACCATAGGGTGTCCAGCTGGAACTCAAGAGGGACTCCATAAGACCTCCACTGCATCTTCAGCGCTCCGGGAATTCAGATTCTATCCCAATGAGATGCAATGTTATCCAGTGGAGCCAAGCCCAGGAGGGTCATAAGGCCAGGTTCTACTAGAAAACTTGGAGACCTCAAAGCTGGTTCCTGAGACTTATTTACCTGAATAATGGAAAAGACAAACAGAAGTGATGGCCAGCTGGGGTGACTCCTATTGTCAGTGGCCACACACAGGTGCAGACGTGCTGGCTGAGGGGCTGTGTACAGGACGTGGCCCGCAGAGCGGAAATCCAAAACCAAGCAACTCTAGGCTGCTGGCAGGAAAGCCCCTCCTGCCCCAGCAGCTGGTCCTTCCCTTTGGCCCCCAGAAGTGCTGCCTGGTCCTTTAGAACTCCCACCCTACTGCCCTGTATCTGTCTTCCCATCCAGAGTCAAAGGCCTGCCTCTTCAGTACCCTTCCAGGCACCACACTGTGAGCAAGGCACATAGTAGGTGCTTAATCAACATCACTGAATGAATGGAATGGGTTCAAAGCCCTCTGAAGGTTCTCAGTCCAATTTACCTACTCTGAGGCGCCTGGTCCCTGGCGATGTCTAAAATAGAACTCCTCCCCCAGGGCCCCTTCCTGCTACAGCATAGCCTACACATCACCCCAGAAGCCAAAACTGCATCTCCCTAGCAGGCACTACCTTGCAGACATGCTTTGCCCTCGACCCACACCCAGCCTAGACTTCCAGGGCTTGCTTCATTAACTTCATATCTTTTCCGGGTCCAGTCTAGAGTTCATGATCTACCCGCCTTTATTGAGCCTGTTTCTCCATTTGTGTGGGACTCTAAGGCCACTCTCCAGGCCAATGACACAGCCACAGGAATAACCAGCTCCTTCCAGCTGGCTATCTGGAGCCTTGGACTGTGGTGGACAGCAAGCTTGAGACAAGAATTGGCACTCAGCAGGCTTGAGGGGACAATGAGAAGACAGGTTTCATGGATTCGGGCAGGAGAAAACTGAGACACAGTCTCATCCTTCCTGGAGACACAGTCCCCTACTCAAACCCAAGAAGTCAGAAATTGCCATTCCTGGTTTCAGTCATCCCAGCCTCTCCAAAATATGTCAGGCACAGGCTCATGCACTCGGGATCCTTCCACCATGGGGCTTCCCACGAAGGGTTTCCACAGCTGTGCAGAAGTTCCCTACTTCCAAACGGAGCTATCCTTGGGTTTATCTAGTTTTCTATCCCCACCCCCTGACACGCAATGAGTGCGCCAAGGGACTGGCTTCCCTTCCGAAAATAAGTCCCCATCACAAATATGTGCCAGGCATTTCTTCTATGAACAATATAATGGCGGGAAGTGGATGAAGTCCTAGAGGTAAGAACAGGACTGGCGGGCTAAAGGAAGAAAGCACATGGAGGTGTCCTCCATGGTACTCCTTAGGGAGCAAGAACCTTTGATGTAGGTCTCCTTAGCATTGTGCAGAAGGCAGACCTGGATTCAGGTCTCGGGGTCACGGGGGTGCAGATTCTCACATGCCCCACCCTTGGCCCCCTTCTCTAGTGTAAACAAACGGCATGCATTCATTGTAGCCAATGAAAGGGGCCAACCCAGCAGGGGTGGGCTCCTGAAAACGGAGTCTTGGGCCCCTGGCTAGTTCTCACACTCAGGCCAGCCAGGTGGTCCACAGGTGGAGAGGAGCGCCCATTGGGCCCCGCCCTCAGGCCAAAGAGCCAAAGGAACCCAGAGCAGGCGGTGCCCACCGACCCCACTGCAAATGACACTGGTTCTGGGGCTAACGTGGATCCCGCGGGTCCTCAGGCGTCCCAGCCCGATCTGCCCTCAAACTCTGCCCAGCGAGGCCGGAATAAATGTACCCAGAATGCCAGCGTGCCAGCCGGCGGATCTGCCTCTCAAGCGCCCGTCGGGGCAGCGCTCCAGCGTCTGCTCCCCGCCACTCTCTAGCTGGTGCCGGTGGGTCCTGACTCGGGAAGTCGGTCCACTGTCTCCTGAGCCTCAAACTAGGTGTCCTGTGGACTTAAACCCCGGGCTGCTGTCCCCTTGCTGTTCAGCTTGGCCCTGCCAAGAAAAGGAGTAGAGGAGGTGCCCCTCCCAGCACCCTGGCGCAAGCTTGGAGCTGGGGTGCCTACAGGCAGGCTCGCAGACCTGTGCCCTGGAGCGCGCAGGGCTCTGACTCTTGGAAAACTGGGACGCCTGCCCGGGTCTCAGGGTACGAGAGAGCTGCCCAAGCCCACTAGGGACTGGAGAATGTATACTGGGCTCGACCCGCACAGCGTCCCTGTACTGGTGGCTCTATAACCCCGGCAGTACCTGGCCTCGTGGTGGGCACGTTCGGCGCTCCGCCCCGAAGAGTGAGATCCGCTCTGCTCCAGGCTGAGCGCTGGGCTGCTGCAGCAACTGCAGCCGCAGGGGATGAAGGGTGGCCGGCCCCGCCCCTGGCCCGCCCCCGGCCCGCCAATCCCCGGCGGCCCGAGGGAGGAGGGGCTGGTCCGGGGAGGAGCGGGGGCCTGGCCGGCTTGCCTCAAAGGGGCAGTCGGTGCCCTCGGTGCCCTCGGAGCCTATAGGTGGGAGAGCCTGGATGGGGAGGGGTCGCTTGAGCCCTGAAGGATCGGGGCGATGGTTCAGGTCAAAGCAGAGATCTTTGTGAGAATTGTAGGTCCCCTGAACCCCTGAAAGACTCTGCCTACAACTTTGTAAACCTCATGGGATCTTCAGCCAAAAGGAGTGGGAACACCCACCGTAAGGTTTAAGTTCAGTGACGGGCTTTAAATGGACGACTTTCAGACTTGATGCCTTTTCTACCTTGCTTGGTCGCCTTTGCTTGTCAGTGGTGGATGGAGCGGGGAGAGTGGCTGTCCGAACCAGTTTTTTCTTCACCCCAGAGAGTCGGTATCCTTGAGGCTGAAGCAGGGGTGGGCTGGGAGAGCTGCAACATGAGGGAGGCAAGGGGAGACTGCTGTGTTTCTTTTCTGGTCTTGCATGTCTATGCCCTCTATTCCGTTTCTAAGATTAAGCGGCTGCTGTCAGCCAGCCTGTCAGAAGTGGGGGCAGGACTTTGAGGAAAGGACTTTCGGAGGACTCATTCTTGACTGGCTATCAGGGCCATCTCTTCCTGCTTCCCACCTAGAGCTCTGGTGAGGAAAGTGGTGTGGTAGGGAGCTGGGGAGGGGTGTTGGCTTTCACAAGGGGGGGGGGGTTGGAACAGCTGTGCCCCTTGCTTCTCAGCCACTGGCTCTGATCCGATTAATGCCATGGCCTCTGCTGTTTGTTCCTTTCCAAGCTGGACTTCTCGGTCATATCTACCTCCTGATGTCATCTCTCCTTCCTGATGCTGTGGAGACCTTCAGAGACCAGGTCTCACCTCCTTTATGCCCCAGGCTGGGAGTCAGGACTCCTCAAATCTAGCAGGCCTGGATTCTCTTCTTGCTGACTCATAGCACCACCACAGCCAAGCCCAAGCGTGCCTCAGTTTCCCTCTGGCCAGGGAGAGGTAGGTGAAGAGAAAGCCATAAGCCATGAATTTAGGACTAGACGCTGGCTGTGAAGGCTAGTGAGCTGGGAGACTAAGCAAAACAGCCCTGGGATGGTGATAGCCTCCGGAAAGTCAAGCCTACATTTCTGGTAGCTAGATGACAGAAAGGACAGCTTTTCATCCTTAGCTGAGGTTGACATAACTTCTAGACCCGACCTTACCATGCCATGAAGAGCCACTAACTAGACTCTCACCCTCCAAAACAGCAGGAGAAGCTAGAGAGGGCGGCTCATGCTGGCAATCCCAGCCCTCCAGAGGGAAGGGGGAGAACAAAATGGCATGAGCCAGAACCACCTTGAATACTCACTGGAGATATTTGTCAAGGGGTAATGGCACCAACGGGCAGTTCCTGAGGATCCAGGTCAGGCTCCAGGTTCTCAGCATATGAGGATTGGGGTCCTGGGTCCAAACTGAACGGGAGCAGAAACCGACTGGGTTGGGCTGCTGTGGCAGGATTGGAGGCTAGTGAGATGAGGGGTCCCTGGGTAAGGCCAATCATGGCTAAGCTGGGGGGAGGGTGCCTGTTTGTCATTCCTGGGCCTGGACCCCTGCCAGGGTAAATAGAGCTCCGAAGGCCTTTCTCACCACCTGTGGAATCTCCCAGCCCAGCCTGCCTTAGCTGCAGAGCCAGGATAGGATGGATAGGACACACTGGTGACTGCCAGGCACCTTCCCCCAGAGGTCTGAAGAAATGCCCATCCGTGTAACCGCCATGTCGGGAGTAACTTCCAAGAGTGGGAGAGCTTCATCTGTGGCATCAGGCCAGCCCTTGCCTCCGTTCCCTGATCTCCACATTTCAAACACAGGCCTAAAAGACTGCCCGACAGATGGGATGGATTTTAGATGGATCTTAGGTCCTAGGATCTTACAGACTCTCCTTCCAAAACCATGTTAGCCCCTTGCTCTTCTCAGCCCTTGTCTAGCCATCCTCCAGTGGGGCAGCCTCTCTCACCATATCCCACCCTACACGGTTCCTTGAGACCCTTTCCAACAGCCATGCCTGGTCTTCACCGCTAACCTCGTCCTTGGATCCACAGTTTGCATGGATACTTGCAGGCTCCTCCCTTACACCGCCAAACCAACTTACTTCCGGTCAGCCATTCCTCCCCACATAGCATGGCTGACCACACATGGCCCTACTGTTCCCGGAACATGCCAGATTTCATGCGTCTGTGCCTCTGCCCTTGCGTTTCCCCCGAGCTTGAGATCCTCACAGTCCTATCTCCTCGGCAACCTTTGGTTTGTCCTTCAGCACCCAAAGGTGCTGAGAGCACTGCCCCAAACTGACAAAGAACCAGCTATTCCAGAGTTTGCAGTGGCCACCCAATCAACACCCCTCACCCTTCCCCCCTCCCACCCGCCAGTCCCAGCCTCAGAATCTACACATGCTCTCCATAGAGCACCCAGATGAGAAGCGCCTGCCAGAATGAGTGCACGAACAAATGAGAGCCTGGTGGAGGAGCGGCCTGTGGGGCAGACCCAGCCCAGGGGAGGGAAGGGACATGCCAGAGTGCAAAGAGAAAGAAAACTCCAGGGAGAGACTGGCACACGACAGGATCAGCGCTGGTCCAGGCTATGTGCAGGGCTGAGATACTTGTTAAGCAGTTGTGTTGGGGACTCTATGGGTTTACGGGAGAGGAGAATCTTATTTTACACTCCAGGGTGGAAGACCCAGACCCATGCTTCTGACTACACTGGTTCATTGTTTGGTGCCCAGGAGGCTACTCTTGGGCACAAGCAGAGTTAAATGTCACATTATAGAACCTAGAAGTATGGAAGTGACCTGTGGGCAATCCTCCTATCTAGCTTTCCCCAGCTTGGGTCCCTAGAGCTGGTGGCCTCCCAACCAAGCCTGCTTCTGCAGGTCTGGCATGCCTGCCCTCTCTCCCCTTAGATCTGGCCCCTAGCTTCTCTGGCCACTGAAGCAGCTTAATGAGCCCAGGTCACATGGACCGTGCTGCTGCCCATGGGAAGGCCCACACTCCCAGTGGTCATCCAGCCAGGCCTTGACGTCAGTGGTATTAACCATCCACTTGTCTAATCTCTGGTCAGTGGCCTGGCCAGGCTAGACCTGTCAGAGCCAGAGCTGAAGATCATGAGGGCACCTCAGGGACACTTTGAGGGTGTAGGGCAGACAAGGTAGCTGGATAATAAATTCCCTAACTTGACAGACAGATGTGATCATGGTGCTCTCTCAGATGTCGGCCCTGGACTGAAGGCCACAGGCGTTCACTGAGCTTCCTTCTTAGAGTGCATTTGCACTCGGATGGTCAGTGGAGCTGAGGATTCCCGCAGAGGAGACTCCCCTCATACATAGGGCAGCTTGAGTATTTTCAAAATACCTATCTTGGGTTAGTTCAGCAGCATTTATAAACAAAAGTCTTTTAGCAGCTGTTGCTTCTTCCTCAGCATTCAAACAATTCAAAGAGAGCATAATAGCATACAGTATCAAGATTCTCTGTGTATTTTCCATCTTTATTTTAACCTCTATTTCTTCTATTTTTACTTTTACTTTTTGAGACAGGATCTCGGTATATCTTTGTCCTGGAATAACTCTGTAGACCAGGCTGTCCTTGAACTCACAGAGATTCCTCTGTCTCTGCCTCCCCAGTGGTGGGCTCAAAGGTGTGTGCTACCATACCTTGAACTCACAGAGATCTGTCTGTCTCTGTCTCCCAGGCATTGGGATTAAAGGCGTGTGCTACCACAACTTGAAGTCACAGAGGTCAATCTCTACCTCTGTCCTTGAAGCTAGAATGGATAGCTTCAAGACAACCTAGACCACATAGTACGTCCTGTCTCAAAAACAAAATAAATCGCCGTGATGGCACACGCCCAGCCCTCTAGAGGTAGAGGCAAGTGGATCTCTGTGAGTTCAAAGCCAGCCTGGTCTATAAAACAAGTTCCAGGATAGCCAGGGCTGTTACACAGAGAAACCTTGTCTTGAAAACAAACAAACAAACATTAAATCTTTAAAAATAAAATTCAGGCTGGTTGGTGGGTGGCACACGTCTTTACCCCTAGCACTTGGGAAGCAGAGGCAGGCGGATTTCTGAGTTTGAGGACAGCCTGGTCTACAGAGTGAGTCCCAGGACAGCAGAGTTGTACAGAGAAATCCTGTCTCAGAAACCAAAAATGATAACTACAACAAAAACCCAAACAAACAAACAAAAAATCAGGAATCAAGCATGGTGGCATTTAATCACAGCAGGCTGGTTTCTGTGGGGCTGAGGACACTCTGATCTACATGGCAAGTTCCAGGCTGACCAAGGCTACATAAAGAAAGCCTGTCTTCAAAATTTTTTTTACGAGTCACAGTCCAGTGTGGTGTCACACATCTTTAAAGTCACAGCAAGATGGCTCAGTGGACAAAGCACTGGCCGAGCAAGTCTGCGTTTCACCCCCGGAACCCACATGAAGATGGAAGAAGAGACGACAAAGTTGTCCTCCGGCCTCTGCATTTTCACTGTGGTACACGCATGCGCCCACACACCCCTGTGTACACAATGATAAATAAAACTCTAAGAGTCAAGATTAATGCAAAAATTCACTGTGAACGCAATTTTAATAATCCAAGAAAGGCATGCTAATATTTATTGGAGCCTGAACCATATAGAAAAATTTCTGGCTGGTGGCGCACGCCTTTAATCCCAGCACTTGGGAGGCAGAGGCAGGCAGATTTCTGTGAGTTCGAGGCCAGCCTGGTCTATAAGAGCTAGTTCCAGGACAGGCACCAAAAAAGCTACAGAGAAACCTTGTCTCAAAAAAAAAAATCTGTTTTTATATATGTTTTCTTTTTCTATTTTTAATTTTTTTTTTTTCGAGACAAGGTTTCTCTGTAACAGTTATGGCTGTCCTGGAACTCTTTGTAGACCAGAATGGCCTCAAACTCACAGAGATGCACCTGCCTCTCCCTCTTGAGTGTTAGAATTAAAGGCGTGCACCACCACTGCCTAGCATTTTTGCTCATTTTTGGTGGTGGTAGTGAAATACATCTACCACAGAATTTATAGTCTTAACCATTAAAATTTTTATGGGTTATTAATGTGTGTGTGTGTGAGAGAGAGTGAGAGACAGACAGACAGACAGACAGACAAAGAGAGAATGTGTGAGTGTTGGTGCACACATGCCATGGCCTGTATGGAAGGGTGGGAGACACCTTTGGGGAGTCAGTTTTGCCTGCCCCACCTTGATTTTCAGGCAGAGTCTCTCAGTTTTTCCATGCTGAGTCCTCCATGAGCTTCCAGGCAGTGCTCCTGTCTCACTGTAGAAGTCCTGAGATTACAGAAGGAAAGTATCGCATTCGTCTCTGTCTTTCTCTCATGGCTTCCAGCTCCGCTTGTCCGGTCTGTGCGGCAAGTGTTCTCACGCAGGAAGACACCTCCCTAGCTCCATCTTAGTTATTTTGTTGATATATTTGTTTGTTTTGTCTTTTGAGACAGTGTTTCTCTCCATGTAGCCCTGGCTGTTCTGTTCAGAGATCCACCTCACCAGTGCTGGGGTTACAGGTGTGCTGGCAGCCAGTGCTCGGAAGTGCTGAGCCAGCTCTCTCCAGTCCCGATTTCTTTCCAAGACTTATTTTGTTACTTATTATGGTGTGTGTGTGTGTGTGTGTGTGTGTGTGTATCTGTGTAGGGGTTTGTGAATATGAGTACTGGTGCCTTTCTGAAGTCAGAAGAAAGCATCAGATCCCCTGGAGCTGGAGTTACAGGTGGTTGTGAACCGCCTGATGTGAGAACTCCAATCCTTGGAAGAGCAATATATGCTCTTAACAGCTGAGACATTTCTCCAGTTCCCCTAATTCTGATTTGGGGGGGGGTCTCACTATGTATCCGTGATTGACCTGGAACTTGCTACACAGACCAAGATAGTCTCACACAAAAACCTGCCTGCCTCTGCTTCCTAAGTGCCCGGATTAAAAACATGTACATCATACCAGCCCTTGGCTGCCACTGTTGTTCTGGAGATGAGAGTCTTGCCCTGATCCTAGCCACAATCCTGTTTCAGTGTTGAGTGCTTCGGTAAGTCCTCATTACCTCCACCTGGCATCTGACCCTCTCCACTGTCTCCCCACGTGTCCTCCCCTTCCTGGCTCCTGCTTCCCTGAGCACCCGGGCTTACAAGTTCAGTCCGCTCTTACGCCGCTCTACTGACTCTGTCAGAGGAGCTTCTGCCTCAGCTCTCCTTGTCACTAGGTGCCTTCGAAGAAGCATGCCTATAATTCCAGCCCCACCTGAGTCTGAGACAGGAGAACAGTGAGTTCGTAGCTAGCCTAGGCTACCCAGTAAGATCCTGTCTCATAAAACAAGCAAACAAAAAACTCCCTGATGACCCGAGACTGTCCCAGTAACATTTCCCATATCCCTCAGCCTCTGCCAAGAGTCATGAGCTGGACCCATTATGCTCCTCCAAGGTCTCTCGAGCCCAAGTCAGGCCACACACTTGCGCTTTACTTCGGAAGGGATTCTCTTCCTAGGTCACACATGCCTACTACTGGGAACTTAATAAATGTCTCAGACTCATGGTAATTAAGATTCCCCCACTGACCCAAGAAAGAACAGCAGACCTGGTGCAAAGGTTTATTGCTGAGTCTGGGCACGTAGCTGAGGAAGTACAGATTACGCCCTAGCCTTGCTGGACAGAATCACTGTGTCTCAGACAGTAGCACTGCCTCTGGTCCACAGGCTTAAGCAAAGACTTGCTGCTTGACGAAGAAAGCGGAAGTGGCTGGAGGACGTGGGACATTGTCTCTAATGGTTCAGGCCTGGTTTTCACTTCTCTCTCCCAAGGACTGGGCCCTGAATTAGGAGGGAGAACAGAGTCACATGGGATTGCCTGCGACTTCACATGGGATATTCTTTGCCCGTGGTTGATCAATAGGCATTGGACTCTGCCCTCAGCCACCCCTCAGCATAGCTTGGTTATTGGTCATAGCGGATGTCAATGTACTCTCCTTCAATACACCATACCTTGATCAGAAAACCCTGAGTATTGTGTGGGGGCGAACGAGGTGGGGTGTGGAAGTGTTCAAGGACAGAGAGGGAAGACCCAGAGGGACAGGGACTGGGAGAGACCCTGAGCCTGGTATTTGGGAATAGGTTTGGCTTGTGTCTCTCCCTGGCACCCATCTCAAAGTCACTAATTTATCTATGTGAGGCTACAAAAGACCAGAGCTTGAACTTTGGATCCCTTGGGTTACTGGAAGGGACAGTCACTGACCACTGGGTGGACAGATGTTGGACTTGTCATATGCAGGGAGCAGGCTGGAAAGACCTGCTGGCAAGTGACAGGCCTGCTTGAGGGAGGGATACCTCAAGCCCTTCATGAAAGCTGGGGAGGGAGGGCGGGCTGTTTGCTGAACCTAGATCCACCAGGTGAGCTGCTGCTGGTGGGGGTGGCAGAAGGGCGTCAGGAGACCTGGGTCACTGGGGCATTGCTGAGTCACTGTGAGCTCCAGCTGTCCCAAGTTCTGCCTTGTCCTAGCTGAGGCTAGCTGCTGTGGGTCCAAGAGGCCAGTGCAGCCAGGCGGTGAAGGGCGGGATTGGGGACCTAGGGGAGGGTCCGCACTTCAAGCCTCAGGGCTTTGGATGTGTGGCTAAGGGAGCAGCAGGTTGAGGCACAGGAGTTATTGGAGGGGACTACAGGAAAGCTGGGCTACAGAGTCTCAGAGCAAGGGACACACATGATTTCTGGCATCTGTGAAGAGAAAAGGGAAGGGAACTTTAGCATCCTTGAGCAGCAAAATAAACGGGATTAGGCGTTGTAGGGGCAGCCCCATGCACCTAGAAGTTGGGGAGCGAAGAACAAATGTTGAGCATAAGAGTAAGGGAGGGGCCTATTGTAATGGGTGAAGCCTAAAAGCCATGGGACGGGGCTTAGGGGTGGGCAGCAGTAAATGGGGCAGTCTGGAGCAGTGAGCACCGTGAGGAACGAGGGGCAGGGTTCGGGTCCTGAGATTACCGAGAAGGACGGTGGAAGATCTGGCTAGCTAGGATCCCATCTCAGAAGAGCCCGCAGTCTTTGAGGTTCTCCTTGATGATAATGTCGGTGACAGCGTCAAAGACGAACTTGACGTTCTGTGTGTCGGTGGCGCACGTCATGTGAGAGTAGATCTCCTTCACGTCACGTCGCATGTTAAGCTCGAGGAACTGCACTTTGATGTAGTTGCCGGCATCCTCGTAAGTGTTAGGTCCTGCAGCAGAGGGCAGCACTCACTCGGCGCGGGAAGACCTCCCTCGGGAAGGAGCATGCGGCGGGAATCCGTGGGGCTGGGGCACCGCCTGGCGGTCGGGACTAGGGAATCTCACCATCGTAATCGGGAAAGCAGATGCTGAGGTGTGCCTTTTTTATCTTCTCAGAGAAAACGTCCTTCTTGTTGAGGAAGAGCACAATGGATGTCGTGGCGAAGTAGCGATGGTTGCAGATGCTGTTGAACAGGTGCAGGCTCTCGTGCATTCGGTTCTGAGGAAGGCAGAGGCTGTTGGACACCAGGCTGCGCAGGCCGCGGCCCCTTGGTCTCTGGGCTCCTGAGATGTAGGCGCCTCCTCACTCCAAGCGCTCCCAGACAGCCTCTGCTTTGTGGGTCTCAGTGGCTACCTCGGCTCCACCTCCCTTCTCAAACACTCAGACCCCCCCTTGTCACTTACCACTTCGTCGTCCTCCACCAGCACCATGTCATAAGCGCTCAGTGCGGCGATGAAAATAATGCAGGTCACACCCTCAAAGCAGTGGATCCACTTTTTGCGCTCGGACCGCTGCCCGCCCACATCGAACATTCTGTAGGACAGAGCCAAGTCCGGATTTGGACCCGTGTATCAGGTCACTCGGATATGCCCACTGGCACCCCTTGTCTTCCTAAGCTGGCTGGAGAGCTCTCATATGGATTGGCATCTGAGGTGACCAGCCTTTCTCCCGGCAAGGGTAGGCCTTCACTCGGGACAGTGAAGTTCCGGTCAGGCCAGCGGAACAAGCGTGCAGGGGTCTTACCTGAAGTTGAGGTCCTTGAAGGAGAACTGTGTCTCGATGATGCCAGTGGTTTTGACACGAGAACGCAACACGTCCTGCTCAGTGGGCACATACCCTGGAGCCACCAGACGCTCGAGGTCTGAAAGGTAGCTGAGGAAGACCACTCATGAGTGGGTGAATAGTGTGGGAGATCACCCCAGCTGGGTCCTGCCAACCCACCCACCACCTCTGCTCCCTGGATCCCCGCCCACCTTTGCTCTCTGAATCCCCGCCCACCTCTGCTCCCTGCATCCCCGCCCACCTCCTCCGCTCCCTGCATCCATCTGTGCACTCACTAGCCAGCAGAGTCATTAAGCTGGTACTCTGAGGCACGTTCAAAGCAGGCTTGGATGCCCGAGTCTTTCCACAAACGCTGAATGATGTCAGACATCTCCTTGGGCATCGTGCCTTCTTCAATGGTATCCGCCATGTGCATCAACTTCCGGGCATCATCCTGGTGGTAGGGTAGGGTAGTGGTTGTGAACCTGAGCCCAGCCAGCTGCCTCGAGCCCCCAGGGACAGATATCAGCCTGCCCCACCTGTCGTGCGGAGTCTCCATACTGAATGTTGAGCGTGGTCATAGCCCGAACAATGGCCAGGATGGACTGCAGAGTGTTGCCATAAATGATGGCAATGAACTCGAGGCATTCTTCCAGCGAATAACCATCCTGGTGGATAATCCTACAACCCAAACCGCAGTCAGAGCTTCCTAGGCCAGCAGGGAAGGACTATCACTAAGGGCTTAGGATGGGCAGGGAACACTCACTTCATCTGCTTGACAATGGTGCTCTTCCCGGATTCACCAGCACCTGGAAGGGAAGCTGTGCCTCAGAGCCGCAGTGACCAGCACTGACCACCTCCTTTGGATCAGAGCTCTGGGGTGCCAGTTAGAACTCTAGCTACACTTGCCCTCATTTCTATCCAAAGTAAAGTCTTGAAGACCCCTAGGGGGAAATGGTTGGAAATAACAAAAGGGACCTACATCCTACATCAGTTATTCAAGTGGGGATTCCCCAAGATTCTTGTTTATAGAGCCTTTATTATACAGCCAGACCAAAATAAGGAAGTCCTCTAGGGCCACCTTGTGGGTATTTCTGGCACTGCATGTACAGGATTATCTGACTAGAACCAACCTCTGCTTTTCACCTAAAGACTAAAGAGATGCCTCTGAGAGGCTCAGAGGGAATTAGCACCTTAGATGGGGGAGAGGACAGAGCTGACATCCTTTCTGAGCCTGCCCTCCTCAAGGGTGTTGGATACAATTAATGGGATTTCCGGCTTAGCTTCTCGGCCTTTCTCCTGGGGGCCCTGGCTGCCCCCCTAAACCAGCAACTTTCCCTTGGGGGTTAAGCAGTGGCAGCGCCCCCATTTCTCTTCACTACCCATGGGATCATAGGCTGGGCTCTATTCATGTGGGCGTCAATATCTTTCCACTTTCAACCCCCACCCCACCCCTACACAGGGTTTCTCTGTATAGCTCTGGCTAGTCTAGAACATTCTCTGAAGACCAGGTTGACCTCAGACTCAGGGATCCACCTGCCTCTGCCTCCCAGGTGCTGGGATTAAAGGCGTGCGCCACCGCTGGCGTTTTCCACTTTCTTTAGCGGTTTCACAGGTCTACCAACGATAAAGTTATCGTACTCATGGACAACCCTAGAGCCTTATTCCCGAGGGAGAAAGAGCCACCAAGAAGACCCAAGCCTTGTTGAGCAGGCTTTGGAAAGCCAAAGGCTAGAGCTCGAGGGCCTGAATGCACACCTTCATACAAAGACGCGTTTGGTAAACTTATGCAGAGCGTCTCTGGGAAATTGTCATGGGATACCTAACCTTGGGGGACTGGGACATCATCACCTGTCAGACCTTGCTGGGGAATGGCTCCTACTCTGTACCCTGCCCCACCACATTGTCACACACACACACACACACACACACACACACCCCCGCAAGGAATCCTTGCCTCATAGAAAGGGGCTGCTTGCCTGGCCCCAGGCTGCTGACCCCCAGCAGCCCCTCCCCAACACTGGCCGCACCCCTACCCAGCAGCAGCAGCTTCACGGTGCGAGCATCCTTCTCAGCATCCTCTTTCAGCTTCTTTTCTAGCTCTCTGGAATGCTTCTCCTCAGCGCTGGCCCCAGCCCCCATGGTCCCAGAAGCAGGCAAAGGGACAGGGTAGGCAGCTTCTGACCTCCTCAGACCTTTTGGCCCTAAAGCTGGCAATCAACTGGCTCTCTACAGACCTGTGCAGGCCCTGGCAGGATTGCTTAGTGGGATTTGGGAGCTAGGAATGCTCTAGGGCCAATCAGAGACAAGGACAGGTGAAGCTCAGTCTCCTAGCTTTTTAATCAGGCTGGCATGGCCCCAATCCTCGGGTTGCTGACTCTGCACCCCTCCACCCCCTCCAACTCTCCAGAAGAGACCCTAGCAAGTCCTTCCCCTGTCCTATAAGAGTTTGCTTGGTATAGCTGAGGAAACCGGGGTGGGGACTGACCGGGAATGCTGATGGAGAAGCAGGCACAGAGGACCTACTGCTTGCCCAGCTGGATTCACACCACTCTTTTGTAAGATTACATGGAACTTGGGGGAAGGTGGTGCCCAAACCACAGTCCCATTTGACAGGTTAGGAGAGATGGGGTCACATGATTAGCAGTGGTTCACGAGTGGGGTGTCTCCAGATCAGAGGGTTCTGTCCCTGCTGGAAGCCACAAGGGGATAGACTTTATATTTGCCTCATATTCGTGGCTAAATATGACCTGAGCATGTTCCCTACATGCCTTCTGCAGGGCAAGTCTGCTGTGCATGCCTGCGTGTGTCTTCCTGCTCCATACTAGGACTTACTGACACACTTGAACCTGTATGTGTGTATGTATGTGTACCTGCTAGTAGCTTGACCACATGCACTTATATACCTGTTTATGTGACTATGCATGTTGGCATGTACTTTACTCCTGAGCTGCATCCCAGCATCCTATGCATGCCTGTACTGGTACAGGTGGTCGTATGTTTATTTTTCTGTGCTTTGTGTGGGTTCACAGCTGTTCACATGTGCCTGAATGTGCAAATGTGTTAACTGTGACACACCCTACAGCCCACTTGTCTATGTATTTAGGTGCACACCTGTGTCCATGCGTGTGTGCACAGAGCTTGCCTATGCCGGTCCATGTGCATACATTTGTCTATATATACATGTATATTTAGGTGCAACAAAATCACTATAGAGGTGGCTAAACTCTGAGTGAATCTTTGGCAGGCTGATTGTCAGAGACGGATGCTGAGGCTGGGTCTGCCCCAGAGTATGGGAGAGTGGGGATTCACCTGCCCTCCTCCTATTCAGTCCACTCACAATGTGGGACCTGCCCGGGGTAGCACTAAAACCTGACAACCTCTACCGGGTCTGGAGACCGGGCTCAGTGTAGCAGTCGGCGAAAGCATGGCACCTGCTGAGCTTGTCCGCACACAACTGAAAACCTGTATCCTGGATCTCAAGGCTATCTAGACTGGTCTGGAGCCTCCTCATTGGACCCCTTTCCTGAAACCAGACCTGACTCTTCCACAGACTACTAGGAGGGTGCCAGGGCCACAGGCACTGAGCATGAAGTGACCCCTAATCAGGCGGTGCAGGAAGCAGCTAACCTAAACATTGGGCATTTATCCTCTGCTCGGGAGCCACCTACACCTTCCCTTACACACTGCAGGCAGCCGCAGGGGTCTCCAAGTCAGTACAAGAGCACTAACTAAATCTAGCCCGTTTTTCTACATATGGGTTTTTTTTTAAAAAATTATTTATTTTATCGGTGCTTTGCCTGCACATCTACCTATGTGAAGCTGTCGGATTCCTTGAAACTGGAGCTGTCACAAGGATTCTGGGAAGTGAACCTAGGTCCTCTGGAAGGACAGCTAGTGCTCCGAACTGCTGAGCCATCTCATCTCTCCAGCCCCAAAATGGGGGAGTGCTTTTTTTGGGGGGCTTGAGACCGGGTTTCTGTGTAGCCCTGGCTGTCCTCAAAGGCACAGAGATTCGCCTGCCTCTGCCTCTCTAGTGCTGAGAAGTGCGGGCCTAACCCACCTCCATTCCCACTCCAACCACCAAGGAGAGAAGGCAAAGTCTAGTCCCAGAGCCAGTGTTTATTAGCAAGATGGAACCCAAGAGCGGCTGTGGCCTGGGGAGCAGAGGGCTGCAGGAGCCCCCCCATCTACCCAACTGCCCCCAGAGCTATTTACACCCATCACCAGAAGCGGTGGGCATTGGGGAACCTTGGGGATTCCCTGCAGGCCCTGGGCCTCCACCATGGCCCATCTACCCTCAGGGCTGGGGGCTCTTTTGAGCCCAGCCCTCTGCTTCTTTCCCCACGGGTCAAGGTGGCACAGGAAAAGCTAAGGAGGTAGAGTGGGGTGGACCTGTCAGGACAGGCAAGGAAGGGAGAAGAGAAAGTCCTGCCCCACCCAGGCAGACTTCTCTTCTGATCCCAATAAATAGAGAATAAATACCTGGGAAAGGTTGGCCTTGACTGAGCACCCCTGACCCAGGCAGGGGCCTGAATCCTGTGATGGCCCCGTCCTCCCTTCTCTGAGTGCTCTCAGGCCCCACCCCCAGGCCCCACAGCAGTCCTGGTGTCCATGTCTACGCCACGGAACAGCTGACAACACTCATCAGCAAAGGTATATGGTCCATGCCCTGGCAAATAGGGCTCGCTCCCTCCCTGTGTTCTGTAGATCTTGACAGCTGTTGAGCAAGATTTCCGTAGTCTGGGGACTGTGTGGTCTTGGCCTGGCCCTGGCAACTTCCTGGGCCAGGCTGGGCATGCTCAGTCATGTGCCATTGCTGACCAACATGGGTCTAAGTTCTGAATAATGCTGCCACTAAGGCAGGCTATATACCCACCAATAAATACTGTCTTTGCAGGGGTAGGGTATGTATAGAATATAGATATTTTATATATATATATATATATCTTTTATATTAAAAGGGATGAGGGGCTAGGCTGGTCCTATGTAGGCCTCCAGTAGCTGCCTCATGTGTCCGGAGGGTGATGACGACGGTTCCGGGGCTTTTTCTGGTCCTGGGGTTCAGGAGGTCTAAGCGCTCCTGGAGCCTCCCTGGGGTTGGGGGGCACATGACGCCAGTAACCCTGGCAGTACTGATGGATGAGGCCCACTTCCGGCTGGGCGAGGAGCTGGGCCAGCTCCTGATAAGGAGGTGTGGGAAGGCCTGTGCCAGGAGGTGGAGGGACGCTCACAGCCAGTGGGGGGAAGAGGGCAGCATGAACGGCGTCCCGGCCCAGTACATGCAGCTGCACCCGAGTGACGATGTGCTTGAAGTTGTTCTCAGTGGCCGTGCAGGAGTAGAGGCCGCGGTCACCAAGCTGCAGGGCACGAAGCAGCAGCCCCTGCTCTGTACGCAGGAAGCGGTCCTCTGCACGAATCTGCAGGGGTAGGGGTGGGGGCTCAGGGGCTGGGTCACCACTCCACGGCCCTAGCCAGCTTCCAGATGAGACCACCTTCGTGGCCATTCCAAGCAGAGACACCCACATGGTATTTCCACATACCAAGGAAAAAGCCCACGTACTGCTTGCACATGAGAGGGATCTGAATAAGGAATCCACACATATTCCCAGTTCAGGAGGTGGATGATGACCCTGGGGGTTAGGGGTTCTGAACAATGAATGAGAAAATTTTGGAGCACACACAGAATTTCCATTTAATGAGAATACCCAATTGTGGCACCCACATACCATTTCCACATAAAGAGGGACACCAGTAAGGTTTTTCCAGAGAATATCCACAGAGTTTCCATATACTGGAGCTCACCCACGTGATGTTCCATACAAGGAGGATACCCCAACAGAGTACAGATATGGAATAGTTTGTTCTTTTGATTTTTCAAGACGGGGTTTCTCTGTGTAGCCCTGGCTGTCCTGGAACTTGTTCTGTAGACCAGGCTGGCCTCGAGCTCAAAGATCCGCCTGTCTCTACCTCTTGAGTGCTGAGATTAAAGGCGTGCACCACCATGCCCAGCTCAGATATGGAATATTTATCAAATGAATCCAGCCTATGAACGGATCCATATACTGAAGCCTAACCCACAGCTGCTATGTAAATTCATTTCACTTCAGTGATTTCGGTGTAAGGATGGGCACTTAGAAGGGGTTCACAGAGTGAAGGCTGCCCCAAGCTGGCTGCCAGGCTCTGTTTCCCCAACGCGGGCTCCCACTGCAAACAGGAACTCCCACACCCACAGTGCAGAATTTGCCCCTTGTGGGACATAGGAACTCACCTCACGGCGCCGGTCACTGGGATCTCGCTGGAACAGCCACTTAACAGTGGCTTGGGGTGAGCGAGGCTGGCACTCAAGGAAAGCCGCACTGCCAGCCACTCCATACTGCACAGACTCTATGGCATTCTTGTTTGCTGTGGATCAAGAGGGCCTTGAGTGGAAGCAGCATTGCTCCTAGGCAGTCAGTCTGTTCAGTAGGGAGAGGCAGGCATCAAGGGGCACCCACACACAAAGACAGGACAACATCA